CTAAACACACCTCTAGTGCCTTTGAAACAGCTTCTTCAGGCCAGTGCGAGGCAAAATACTTTCTCTGTGCTCTACCATTGCCCCTGTGGGATGGCAACGGGTCCACATCCACATCCACATCTGAGTCTTTTAACACTTGGCAACCAACAATTGCCTCAGGACAGCAGTTGGAAATTACGCTTCCATTTTCATCATCAGCTTCCAAACTATGCTGATTTTGAAGGCTTCCTTTTTCACATTCTGACTTCTGATCAGTTACATGCATAACCGGCAATGAACTGAAAGCCACATCAGATGCTCGCAGAACTTGATTCTCATTAGATCCCACATTATCCAAAAGTTCCGTTTCCCCAACATGTATCTCATTGTTCACTGAACCACTACTGGCTGCTTCAAGATAAGAAATTTTGCAAAAAGTCACTTTTCTGAACAAAACATTCCTAATATATAATACAAAAAGAGAAACCACAAATTTGTGAAAAAGCGTGCCAGGATTGTCAATTGTCACTGAACTATGTACAATAAAAACACTATTCTCTGTACATTGAGTAATAGAATTTGTACAAAACTGAGCATGAATACCTTTAATTATTCCCTACACAACAAATAACTAACAATTGCACACTCTTCATCAATTAACCATTTTAGCATGCCCTTTTCACCCTTCACTGACTTTCCCAAAGAAGGAAAAAACAGAAGCAGCATTACTTCACTAAACAGAACAACATTTACTAACAAAAAGAGCCAATATAAAAAGGGAAAAAAAAACTGATTTGAAGACATTAACCAAAATTCAAAACTTGGCAGTTTTGAAAATAATTTTTTACCAAGACTATCGATTTCCTATGTTTAATACAGCAGAGCATAAAATTTTTCAGAAAGATTCAAACTTTAAGAATCTACGAGTACTCAAAGAACAACTTTCTAATACTCATAGCCCTATCGAAAAAGGAAAAATTAAAGCCCTTAAAAGAAAAGAACAGTAAAGCAACCACTTAAAAAAAACCCATAATAGAATTATCTAAAGCATTCAAAATTCCCAAGAACAGCAAAGTAAAAATTATGCATAATTACAACAAAACCATAAACAAAAATTATAAAAAGAAAAAAAAAGAAAATAACCTGGAATCGAAGAATTCTGCTTGGTTCTTCTGGATCGACGCTTTTTCTTTTTACCATCTTTGACATCCACAGCATTACTACTATTATAATTCGCAGCAGTTCTGTCACTTTGAGACTGACTCGGCTCAGCAATTGCCCCTCCTCCCATTTCTTTTCCCCAACTCGAAAAAACCAGTTAAAAAAAAAAGAAATTTTCTGGGTTGAAAGAAAAACCCTAGAACTAAAAACAAGCAAAATCGGGTATCTTCTTCCGATTAGTGGAAAAAATATATTAAAACGGAAGAAAATTAGACCGATTAGGCAAAAACCAAAGAATCAAAGAGGTTAACCATCAAACTAAAGGGCTAACTATAAATAAATAAAAAGCTTAATAAGTAAGGAAAAGAAAAGAAATTGAAAAGAGAAAGTAGTATAGATGGAAAGAAAAGGGTTGAAAAAGGAGGAGATTTGAGAGGTAGGGGAAACGATGTGATAATTGGTCGGCGTAGACAAAGGGCGCCGACTCTTTGATTCTTTTGTCCTCACGGACCTTTCCTCAGCCTTTTTTTCTCTCTTTCTCTCTTCTTTTGAATTCTTTTCTTTTTCTTTTTTATTTTCCTTCACTTTTGTTGTTGTACTTTTTTTGGAAAGGAGTATCTTATTACCCTAAAAGTCTCTTACCAACATACAAATTAAAAAATGGCCCAACTCCCGAATTTTAACCTCTCTCAATTTTGCTTTAGATTATATATAATCAGCAAAAGTTATTTTTTGATTGATTATAAATTTTAGTTTTTTTTTATGATTGGCAAAAAAATCTGTAATCTAAATATAAAAGCAAATGAAAAAATTGATTATTCAAAATTAAAATTTTAGATTTTATATAATCTAATTATCGTATGATTAGCAAAAACTAATTTTTGGTTGATTATAAATTTTAACTTTATTGATGATTGATAAAAAAATCTATAATCTAAATATAAAAGGAAACGAGAATGTCACAAAAAATAAATAATCAAAATCAAAATCTCTTATCAATTAAAATAATCAATAGAGAACTAGTTTAGTGTAGTTGAATTCTTTTGAAAATTTGCTACTAAAATTTTAATGCCGCATCAAACGCGATTACTCCTCTCAAGTCAATGTGATGATAATTGACGTGACTTGAGAGAAGTAAGACCCATTTGGATTAGAGTTTTTGGGATTTTTTTTGTAGAAAAATATAAGATAGTAAAGTAAATTTTGTGAGGTGTAAAAATAATTAAAAATATGTGAATATCTCAAAAAATTTTGTGAAAAACTCACAATTCAAACAGCAATTTTGACAAAAAAAAAAATTACTATGGCATTATGTTTTGAGTTCTGAAATAAACATCACAGATCAGTTAACAACATGCTCAATGAAATTTTTTTTATGAAATTTTCATATGTGTTGAATAACAATTTTATTAAGTTCTAACAATTATATATTGATCTTTTAACAATTCTAACAATTTTAGAAGATGTACATATTGTTACTTTTTATCACAATTAAAGCTATTTATTTCTTTATATTGTAAGTTAAATGGAATTAGAGATGCATTTCGCGTCTTAAATGATTAAAAATGTAAATGAAAGTATTGCTAACAAATGTGAAAATGATAGTGTGGACTCTTTTCCTGCTTTTATGCTCTAATCTTTATGCAGATTTCATGTTTCTTTACTTGTACATGATGTCAATTTGTATACAGGAGGGGTACGAGTTTGGTTTGCTTGGGGATTAAGTGAGAGAGGAACATATGTATGGCACACGGAGCAGTGTCGCGGCTACTTAATACACATGTGAAATTAGGGAGAATCATGTCAAACGTGCCTTTTCCATGTCTTGGAATCTTGAGCTTATCACTGTGGAATTTAAGTGATCTATCTAGGCTCAAAATGTTAACATGTCAGTTTAGCACTCCCAAAGTTACAAATTTGCACCAATATGAAATTCAAACACACACACACACATATATGCATGCATGTGTGTATGTATATGTATGTGTGTGTTTTGAATTAATCCTTTTTGGATAAAATACATGAAACCTAATGATATACACAAAACTCCCTTATTATTTAAAAAACTGCTACATAACCATCTCATAGTTCAAATTAACACGAAAAGATCATATCCACCGTTATCAACAAGATTATATTTTATTTTATGCATTATATTTTTTTTCTTGTTTTCTCTTTTTTATTAAAAAATCATTTCTTCATTTTGTTTATTCAAAAAACCATTTTATTTCCTTTTTATTTTTTCAATTTTATTTCTTCCACTAATGCCTTTTTTTCTTCACCAATGCCAATCACCACTCCCTTCCATCTCCAACAATTCTACTACTCCACTGCCACCCCTTTTCCCCCTTTTCTTCCTCCACATTCTTTCTCTCCAATACCACCTGTTATGTCCAAAAACAACTTGATTTGGGGCGGGGGGATGAATTAGGTTGTTCACAATTTTTTCAAATTCAAAACTAATATCACCCAAATCAAAAATTATTTCAAACAAATTATAGTATAAGCATATGACAAGTATCAAAAAAATAGTTGTTACAAACTAGCCATTAGGGGGTTTGGACGGTGACTCGGATGTAGCTTCCTTTGGTTCGGACATCCTAACGCTAATACAAGTCTACTGCTATTGTACTTACTACAATCAGGTTTGCCAAGTTGCAACTTGAATATCCCAATTGAGAACATTGAATCAACTTTTATGCAAAACACAAAAGCTATAGTCAAATATGTTAATTTTCCCATGAATCAAGAATCAAGTTGTTTGGTAATCTGGAGAATGCGTTATGACCAAATTACCCATGACTGGTCAAATGACTAGTTCAAATTGTAGCCACAAAAAGTACTTCCGTAATTTAGATTTTTAGGTAGGCAAACATGAGAACTAAACTTTGATATATGTATAATAATTGTAGCCCTTCCTCTTAACTTTATAACGTTTCAAGAACCATCTCAATTGACCATCTGTAGCTCATGTTATAGGTAAAATACTAAAATGTAAGGGTGGAAATCAAGTCGGGTCACAGGTTGGCGGATCGGGTTGAGACACGAGTATTCCAGACAACTCGCCAACCCGAACATGACCCGTTTATTTTATCAGGTTAGGTCTCTTGACTTTAACACGAATCACAATGTTCGTGGGTTACCCGAACTTGACCTGTTTCAACCTACCAAATTAATGATAAGTTGGATTCGAAACTTCTGTTGGTTTATCCATTAAAGGAGACTACTAATTTGCAACTTCATGTTTTTCTAACAAAAAATCATTTGTCCTTAATCCTTAATATTTTATATTTTGTTGTATTTTGAATTAGTAAATAATGGTAAGAGTTAATCAATTATTCGAATTCTTAAAAATTGACTTCGTGCAATAGATATTACCTATATTCTAAGTTTCAATTTAAGTATATATAATTGAGGACGCTTATGTTTCATGACTGCCTATCATATTTTCAAGGAAGAAAGTGAGAATATCGAATACGTTCGTGGTTTCCTTATTGAAGCAGTAGCCCAACCACAATCCATAGCCAAATTATGGTCATTAGACCAAATATATTGACCGGATTTTGAGACACAGTTGTTTGATACAATACAGCCTTATAATCCGGTCTATTCCCTGTACATGCATCCACGGATTTTTGTTGAAAATTTTCCCTCCTTCCAATCCTTTTGCGGTTTACTGTAAAGTAGGGCGGATTGTAAGAACGGATACTACTAATCTGACTAATAACCTCCAATAATCAGCAATGTCAATTGCCCATCGGAATTTAGAAATCCATTCAAGCAAATGAGCAATCATACGCAAAAGGCAATCACCAAACATAATCCAAATCCAAATAACTAGGACATAAAAAGACATAACATAAGCTGATAATCAGTAATCACAAGTCTGAACTCCCAATATCATCATCAAATCCAAATGGCTACAAGCCATGAAAACTAAAAAGACATTAAATAATAATAAGTCCCAATATCATTAATTCATCATCAAATCCCGATGGCTACAAGTCATAAACACTAAATAGCAACAAAATAGACATAAAACTGAAACATAATCATTGGTCCAGGTTCCAAGCTGAAATAGTCAACTGATACTCCTGTTCTAACTTCCAAACTTCACTAAATCAAGGGATGCAGGCAATTTTTAAGTACCCTGCAATGTAGACATCAAAGTATTAATGGTAATACATATAGGTACAATAAAATATATTATGGTATAACTTTTAACTCACCAAAGTCAATGACTTAGAGCTTGACCACATTAGAGTTTGGATCTTCAACAAATTGGACATCATCTTTTGATATGTTCAAATACATGATATCTTGAGTTATATCCTCCAGCCTCAAATCTGTCATCTCCACATTAACAAGATAAGAAAAATAAAATGATTATAAATACTAAAGAAACAAAGTAGATATTATAAAACATCAATTGAATGCTTTTACCTTTCTCGCCAAACAACCAGTTTTTAGTATGTACTAAAGTTTCAACTATTGGTGGTGACAATGAACTACGGAATTGGTCTAGAATCCTACCACCAAGGCTAAAAGCAGATTCTGATGTAACATTTGATACATAAGGTATCTCTAGCCAATTTTGCTAGATCTGGAAATTGATATAGTTGAGCCTTCCAATAGTCAAGAACATGAATCTCAGATTTTTTTTTTTTTTTACTTCTTGGCTCTTCTAGATACGTTTCCAATTGAGTTTTTTGTGCATCACTCATAAACTCAAAATTATCAAATTCATCCAATTCCTATTGAACATGAAATTGAAAGAGAGAGAGATATTAGACATGAAAATGAGGGTAGAACATTTTGAAAATCACAAGGGAGTATATAAATTAATAAGTCAATAAAACTAAAAAATATTATCATCACACCTTGAAAACATTCACTGATTGTTTTCCTTGTACTTCTGCTGCATCAAAAGAGGTCTCATTCATGTCATTGCTACCTCGAGAATAGGATGATGATGGCTGAGATGTCTTACTAACTCTAACATATTCATTGAAGAGACTAAAAGGTGCATCCCTGACCTTTGTTAGTTCTGCAAACCCTAGACCATATAACTAAACTCAAGAAGCTGAAATTTGTATCTAGGATCAAATACCATAGCAATGGCTAACAAAATATTGAACTCAGACCAATATTTGTCAAGTTTCACAAACATCTGTTCAGCAATTTTTTTCATAAAGCCATTAGAACTGCTACACTCCTCAAACAACTTTAATTGAATCACAAAAACTTGAGGAAAGTACAAGTTAGCAGTCAGGTACTTAGATCCTGAGAAGGCCGTGGATACATCATAAAAAATGTCTAAAAAACTGCAAATCTTTTCAACTCTTTCCCACTCCTCTAAAGATGGACAGCATTAAAAATTGGAATCACGTAATTGTAAGTGACAAAAGGCAAGAAGGTAATAAAGAGCACTTGAAAGCATCTTATAAGTGGAATTCCACCTAGTTGGGACATCTTGAACTAGGCCTTTTTACAATCAAGGGATGTTTGTGCTATGCATTGAGTAAACATTACTTTTCTCACTTGGAAACCCTTCACATATTTCACATATTCCCTTATTCTATCCACTGAGACATCAATTTCTTTCAAACCATCTTGCACAATCAGATTTAGAATATGAGCACAACACCTCACATGAAATAAAATGCCATCATGCACCAAAGCACCTTTCGACCTAAGCTGATTCTAAAGTATTTGGACACAAGAAACATTTGTAGAAGCATTATCCAAAGTGATGGTGAACAATTTCTTTTCAATGCCATAATCACTAGCCAAACTATAAATTTTTTTTGCTAGAGCAACTCCATTATGAGGAGGAGGCATATAAGAAAAATTTAGAAATTTTTTTTGCAGCATCCAATTATTATCAACAAAATGTACGATCAAACTCAAGTACAGTAACCATGGAGCTCCATGCATCAAAAGTCAAAGAAATTCGACTCGAACATAATTGTAGTATAGCTCGAAACCTATCAACTTCTTTAGCATGAAATTTTTTTATATATGCCTTAGCGGTGTTTCAAGTGACATGTTTAACTTGTGGTTCCAAATATGAGCAAACATTTCTAACTCCCTCATATTCGACAAATGAAAATGTCAACTTATGTCTGATGATTGCATGCATTATTAAATCTCTAAATTTCTCTTGACTAAACTGAGAATTTCTTGTGGACAAAGCTCCTCGATCAGCAGTAAGTAAATATTGACCAATGTCTTTAGTTGTCATTTGTTGACTTTTTTTATATGTCAAAGGAGGTTACCTATCCCATTTTTACTCTCTACAAAGTAGATACGCTTATATTTTTTGCATTCGCACTTCAATTCCTCATTTGGTTTTGGAGTCAGGATTATAAAGTAAGCCCAAACTTCAGAAGTTAGCTTCCTTTTTTTTCCCTTTAAGAGCAGGGTTAGGACGTTGAGACTGGCTCATTTCCATTGTCTCTTCAATGTTGTTGTCACTACCACTATCATCATCCATCTCAACTGGATTTGGATTTGTATTACTTTCACCCACCTGGTAACCAACAAATAGATATACATGTCATTGTCAATTCAAGTTAAAATTTCTCTTATTACAGTAGCAAATCAGAATCCATCTTTACAAATCTTATTCACACAAGGCCATGTACAGCCCAACAAATTAAGAAGGCAAATATTGAATCACATAGTACGTGAGTATGTCTGTAAACAATCATGAACCATGGAACAAAAATCTGGAGTCTTTTGTTATTTATTATTCCAAAAAGCCTCTTCAAAATCTCTAGCAAAACAAATTTCCATTTTCCTGTCCAATTTTATATGATTTTCACAAAATGCATGTAGGTGAAGGAAATCAAGAATGTTTAGCTTAAGCAATTAGAGTATAATGATGTTTGCTATGACTTCATCAGTTCATCTATGCAACTCATAATCACTGAAAAAAAAAAGATGAAAAACACATAAATAATTGAATACCTTCTCAGTTTGTTCAATAATATTTATGAATCTGATTCTCTAAATTCGTCTAGAGTGAAGAGAGGGTTGGAAGTGTCTTTCGGCTCACTAGTCAGTCCGATTTCAAGGGTAGAAGCTAAGCTTGGAGAAGAAGTGCCACCAGCATGCCATTAACCATTGAGAAGAATAGCTACCAGTCGATTTTTTCCTTGCTGGCCAGCTTTGCTAGTGCTAGTGAATAGTGAGTAGTGAAGTTGGAAGTGCAACACAAAGACTGAAGAGAAAGAGAAAAAATTAGGGTTGTGAAAGTGAGAAGTGAAGTGAAAAGTGAAAATGATTGGATAAGGTTAGATATTTTAGAAATTAGGATTTATTTAAGAAAAATAGAAAATAGTTAATAAATTTTTTTATATTTATTAATTATTTTTAATTCATAAATGAGTTAACCGAGTCAACCCATGGTTGACCTGGATTCAACCTGATATTTTTTTAGGTCTGAGCCAACTTCGATCCAAACCCATGAAAGTTCAATTCAAACTCATTAATTTCATGTTAGGTTCGTATCGTGTTTTCAGATTGTGTTGAAAATTGCCACCTCTACTAAAATGCGTCTTTTCTACCCATCCTATTTTTCATTGTTTCTTGATTACATTTCACTTTGCCAATCCAATTTTTTGGACTTTATCTTCCTTGGAATCAACTTCAAATCGTCACGAATCTTTCAAATGTCCTTTCATTTCATCTAATTGATAATTTTCATGATATTTATGCTTGAATTTACTTCATTAGATTCATTGATAATTGGGCTTTGTTTATCTCCTTTTAAGTTGCCTTCTTGGATAAAACACTTGAATAAAAGCTTTCTTCATCTTGCTTGATACAAATATTATTTCTTACTCATTTGGTACCACATTTTTGGGTATTGCTTTACTATGATTTTGGGATGGCTAAACATGCATCCAAAGCTTTAGTTCAACTTGATTGTATGCTAACTTCTTTTCCAATCATGTTTACACTTTGACAACATTTTCTTTGGACCATTTAGAATATTGTACTTCATGAGTTCCAAGTTTGAGTTTACTTCATCTAATAAATTACTTAATTGAACCATTAGTATTTCACATCATTGTTTGCTATTTATCAAAATAAGAGTTCATCTAAACTATATGGTCTTCACCACCGCGAGATCAAATTTGGTCACTGACGAGAAGGAGAGAGAAGGAGGCCGAAAAGGGAGGAGTAAGAGAGAGGGTAGAGAGGGAAGAGGGGAGAGAAGGAGGGAGAGTGAGAGAAAAAGGAGGAAGAGGGGAGGGTAGTTTAGGGAATGGGAATAAGAGCAGGAGGTGGCTAGCTAGTGGTGGTAGAGGAGGATGGAAGGGAAGGAAAGGAATAAGGATAGTGGTCTCTAATGCCATGTTGGCAAGAAGAAAGGGGGAGGAGACCAAAAAGAGAGAAGCGGGAGAGGGGTCAAAGAGGGAAGATGGGAGAAGAAAAGGGAGAAGGAGGGGAAAAAGAGGAAGAGAGAGCAGTTAGTTTGGGAAAGGAAAAAGAGGAGGAGGGGATGGCTAGGCAATGGCGGTGGAGGAGAATGGAAGGAAAGGAGAGGAATAAGGATAATGGCTAGTGGGGGTGGTAGCGGTGAGAAGGAAGAGAGGGTTTTTTTTTTTCCTAGATTTTTCTTCTTACTTTGGATAGGGAAGATACCCCTCCTTTCAAAATTGTTGTTTGACCCCTTAATTTACAGTTTCTTCAACAAAGATTTTTTTCCTTCTAAAAGTGGCATTAAATCCCTTAATTGACTATGTTTTTCCTTAATCTCATAAAGTTTTATGCCACTTATAGTTCATACAGCCAACTAAAGATCAAATTCCATTCTAGTTAAAACTATTAAGTGGTTATGTGAAGAGTTTTTAAACATATGGGGCTCTATGCTTTTTGACAATACCATAGGGGCTCCATGTATTTTAGCCTTCTTTTTAAACTAATTTATCCTTCATCCATTTTAATATAGTTAAAATTGAGAAAATCCAAAAAGACTTTGAGAAATATTAAACAACCTTTTTCTACATAAAGAAAGTAGTGTAAAGTAATAAAAGGTTGAGAGTAAGAAAGTTTTTTAGGTTATCTTGTAAAAGATTTTGGGTCGATTTGGATGGTGTATTTTGCAATAGTTGTTTATAGAAAAGATGCTAGTGTTTGTCTAAAACACACAAAATATCTTTACTTTTTTCAAAATCTCACCTTCCCAATCCCTCATCACCTACCACCCACCATCACAATCTCTGCCACTGACTACCAGTACCTCTGCTATTAGTATCTTATTTAATGTACTTTTTTTTGGTATTATAACATTTTTCTACATAAAGAAAGTAGTGTAAAGTAATAAAAGGTAGAGAGTAAGAAAGTTTTTTAGGTTATCTTGTAAAAGATTTAGGGTCGATTTGGATGGTGTATTTTCTAAATATTTGTCTAAAACTTTACAGTAGTTTGCAATAGTAGTTTATAGAAAACATGCTAGTGTTTGTCTGAAACACTCAAAATATCTTTACTTTTTTCAAAATCTCACCTTCCCAATCCCTCATCACCTACCACCCACCATCGACAATCTCCGCCACTAACTACCAGTACCTCTGCCATTAGTATCTTATTTAATGTACTTTTTTTTGTTATTATAACATTTATGGGCATTTAGAGTATGATTGTAGATAGTAGATAGTATTTTAAACAAACTGTTTTTCTAAAACAAGTCATCCAAATAGAACCTTATATAATTGGATGTGTTAAGTCAAATATAGTTGCAAGAGCCTTTATCTGGTTATTGCTTTGACTCATTTCAAAAGACATATATATATATATATATTTCAGGGAGAAAATTATCTTTTTCTTTGACATTATTGATTTCAAATTCCTATTGACAAAGAAATCGATTTTCCCACCAATCATCATCACTGAAAGTAATAGCATAGATAAATTCATGAAGAAAAATTCATTTTCTAAACTTTAATGTTGTTAAAATATGTCAAAGTTTGTTAAGAATGCATTAGAAAAATTCAAATAAAGGCTTATTTAAGGCATACATTTTAGTAAAAATGTATAAGAAAAAAGACACAATATAATAGGAAAACTACTTAGAAAATATCTAGCCTAAAGACATTCTTGCACAATATTGGTTTATGAGTAGGTACACTAGCAATACTCCATTCATATAATCAAATTGCACCGTCGGATAATCTAATTCTATATTTGAAAATTATGCTTTTAGACTCAAACCGAGCATCTATTCAGCCGAATTCAGGGGTCAGGGATCAATGAGGTCGATCGGGTTCAATTGGAAGTCGAACCGGATGACGTCATAAATACGTCATATACATACAATTTTTTTTCTGCAAAATGAAATTTACAAAATATTACAAAGAATCCAATGATCCAAATCCATATCCAATTCACCAAATTCATCCAAACTCACAAAATTTCCAAAATAAAAATTTCGTACATATTCAATCCTTGATAAATATCAATCCAAATAAAGTAACAAGTTCATTCATAATACTTTGAAATGACATATTTTAGAACTATCTAAACCATGCTTTATCGTCATTTTCATCATCATTATCTCTAATTTCATAATTTATCAAGTCTAACAATAGTGCTCCAAATATACCAAACGGCAACAAATATAAAGTTTAACATAGTGCTCCTAAAGGATATACCAAATGGCAACAAGGATAAAGTACTCGAGAGCATCCAAATATAAAGTCTAATATAGTGCTCCAAGACCTGAGCTTACTACACTGCTTCTATAGCCAATCAACATCAATGCTTGATTTTGTTAAAAAAAACATCCAATTTGCAAATTCACTATAGGTACAAACGTGCATCCAATTCAGAAGCCATGGAAATTCCACACCAAGCATCACAATTAATAGAAGGTAAGCCCATCAAACGCATCAAATAACTTCAACATTATGGGACACAATCTTTCAAAAAACTTTGAGAAACTTAAAAGATGAACATGAAAAGATTCTACAGCAGCTAAGTATATCAAAAACCGTAACTAAAATTCTAAATTTCTTATTGACTATTGACTATTTATTTTTCTATCAAACAAAAATCTTTCAGTCCAAAATAAACAACTGCAACAAATGCTCCAACTATTGGTGATTTTACCAACCAATGCTTCAACTATATTCACATCAGTAGTGATTTTACTAACCAGTATCATTTGCTCTTATTTTCTTAAGATTGTTCTTATTTTAACACACAAAGTACCAGTTCCTCAGGTAGTGTACTACTGTAATTTCACTACTTTTATAATGAGGTGAAAGCCATCTACTACTACTATGGTTCCAATCACCGGTCACACACAGTCACACACAACCAACCAGACCAGAAGTGGAGAAATTTACATTCAAAGCTATAACCATGCCCACCCATACACTTACCATTCAATCGGTCCACAACTACTAGTAGTCACACACAACCAACCAGACCAGAAGTGGAGAAATTTACATTCAAAGCTATAACCATGCCCACCCATACACTTACCATTCAATCGGTCCACAACTACTAGTAGAGGGAGTGGGTGGGAAAATTTTAAACAATCTTCAATATAAAACTATTCGGCCATTGAAAGTTAGGAATGGTTACAAGCATAATATATAGTGAGCTTTTTCTTTTATATGTCCAATAAAAAAGGAGAACAGTAAGGTGCTTCCAAGATTAGGATATGAATTACCAATTGGAAAAATTTGCTTGAGCCTTGAGGTTTGAGCTTGAAGACTTAATCTTGAAACCTGATGGAACTAGTAGCTACTGGAGTATGAAGGAGCTTGAAGTTTGAAAATGCACCAGAGGAGTAGCGGTAGCCCTGTTGAGAAGTGGCAGCAAGCAATTGAATGTTAGAGAGCAGCAGTGGTAGAAGACTTGGGGTTATGAAATAGCAACGAAAGAGGAGAAGTTGTTTTGTTCGGCAGTGAGCAAAACGGGAATGAAATAGGATTAGGAACTGATTTTTCTAGGTCAACTAGTCAATTTATAAAAAAGGGATGGGAAATAAACTGAGGCCCCGTATGGCAAGTGAGTTTTTTGGGTGTTTGTCTAAAATTTTACTGTAGTTTATTGTAGAAGTTTTTTTAAAAATTTTTGAAGTGTGTGACTTTTTGAATATATTGAGGTGTATAGTTTAAAAACTTTAAAAAATTTTTTGAGATTACTGTAATTAAAACTTTTTAAAAACTTGTAGTAGACAAATTTGGCAAAAAACTCAAATGCCAAACAGGGCCTCAGAGTTTAAATGGTTCTACCCATAGTTATAAATCCGACCCGACCCGGCAATCGAACCGGTGACTTGGCCATTAGACCGGGCCGGATTTGTAATCTGACCAGACAATGAAGTAACCCGCTAGGAACCGTTAAAACCCACGGTTGAATAGCAAAACTGAAGACCCAGAGGAATAAAACTCGGTGAGTTAGGAAAAAATAAGTCAAATGAGTCAAATTGACTCTTTAAATTTAAGCAATTTATCTTGTCTTGACCATTGATCTCAAGCAAAATTAGGATAGAGCCGCAGACACAAGACGCAAATTCCTCTCTTGTGAACGCAGAGCCGCAGAGACTCAAATAAAATTGCTCTAACTTCTCTTCTCCATCTAATGCTTAATTTTTTCACCATTTTCAAGTTTGCAAACATAGACTTCAAAATTCTTTCTTAATCTTTTGCCTTTCTCATTCTCTTAAGTCTTATCAACTTTGGCAAGAATTAATTTTGCAGCTTTTGTTCTCACATCTTTTATGCATAAGTTATAATTTTCTCTATTTAATTTCAGCTTATATTTATGTGATTCTTTTTTTTTGTTGGTTGTTGAATTATTCCTGAGTTCATAACTTTAGATGTTTCTACTCAACTGGATTATTCTTTTGAACCAATTAGGTGTTTGTGAAAATGTCTGTCAGGAACATTTTTAGTAACAATAGTTGAAACATGCTTGTGGATAAGGTTTCTTTAGAAACACGAGCATTTCTAGTATAAGAAAGCTAAATTCTGAGAATTAGTCAAGCTATAACCATCTTTCATTTACTCAAATCAAGATTTGCAATTTTTGTATTGGGTACTAATCTAAAAGATGATACCTGAATGCTAGATTCATCAAATTTTATAGGCTTTAAATTTTTTTTTTTTATCTTTCATTCCTTTATACCAAAATTTCAATTTAGGTAAATTTTGGAATGATGGTTGTAGTTTCCCGTTCTAGGCTGCCTTAATTCATGTAAACAAAATGAGAAATGCTTCACAAGAAAACCGAAGGAAAGCTATATATATGAGAGGTATATTTAACCAAAAAAATGGTTTTAATACCTCCCTCTTACAAGTGTTGCAAAATAGATGAAGACAATTTTGCAAGTAGTTTTTGCTGGTAATAGTGGATGAATGTTTTTTAGATGATTACCTTATGCTAATTTTTGCTGGTATGATTACTTTTTAGAAAAAGTTGAGCTTATTAAATGATTACCTTATGCAATTCTTGGGCCAAATTTTCTTGCTACATTTGGTGCATCTTTTTTATCCATTGAATACTTGCTTGTATTTGCATTTTTTAGATGGATTCTGTTGGAGAAACGCCTACAAGTGCAACACAAAATACTTCAAATTCAGAATCTCAACCTGTAACAAGGGGAAAAATGGATTAAACCATTTGGAACACTGGTTTTTTTGTTAATGGATGAAACCATTTGGAACTTTTGGCATATGTAATTATGTGCTATAATGTTTTAAGATGATGTAATGCAACTTTGAAGTTTGAACAATTGAAGTTCAGTAGAGTTGTTGTCTAAATTTCACAAAAATAATTTATATTTTTACTTTTTTATATAATTTTAATTATTAGTAATATAAATATTTAATTAGATTATTTTTAGGACCCGACAGTTCAACCAGTTGATCTCCGGTTGAACCACTAACCCGATGACTCGGTCCCTCTTCTGAGTTGAGTTCCAAGTCAGGTTTAATAACTATGGTTCTACGAGTTCACCAGTCCAACCCGATTTTGACCGGGTTAGACTGAGTTTATTATATCTCAAGTATTTGGTCAAACTTGAACTGATTGCTTGGCCGGTTATCTATTCGATTGGTCCAATCGACCAGTTCGGTCTAAGTCTGACAACAATGTTTGAAGAATCCAGATCAATTTTGGCCTTATTACCATTAGTCTCATAGATGAATTCTTCCTTCTTCAGCTCATGCTTTTTTTCTACAAGGTTTAGTTTTATAACATAAATTGGTAGTGCATTTGCTTGGATTTGCTATTTGTTTTAAAAAATCAGGGATCTATACTCATAGATTTGATAACTATGAGAGCATAGAAAGATAGCACAAGCAATAGTTTCATCAAGAATAAATCTTCTAACTACATATCTATCACATACACATCTCTCATAGTCTTTGGAGACTAACTATCACAAAATCTCGTTAAAAATTTTATACCTATGTTCCATACGAACCTCGAAAAATTCATTGGCTGCACACAATTTGGTTCTTATGATTCGACGTGCAATTCAATTTTCATAAGAAAATCCTTAAATCTATCAATAGGGTAAGAATTACCCACAGGAAAAGTAGCTATCATACCAAGAGAAACCTGCTCTTGGATTGATAAATATGAAAATGATTATAAAAAAGCAACACTAGATCAACTTTCGATAAAATAATTCAAAAAAATCAAGGTACACCTTGAGTGCACTTAAGATATCTAAACTAAAATAACAATAAATATTGTTAAAATTTGTCAATGCCTAATAAGAATGTATTAGAGTAACCCTAACTAAGACCTATTTATATGCAAATAGTTAGTATAAACATAAAAGAAAATAGAAATAATAAAATAGAGAAACTAATTAGAGAACATAAAACTACTAAAGAGTCACGTTGTTGTCGGATGTAGATCTAACTCAAGACCAAGTGCCAATATATCCTTGTAACACGATCCACATGTGTCCTACCTAGGGATGTAATCGAGTCGAGTCGAGTGCGAGTATTGCTATACTCGAGCTCGATTCGACAGTAGAGATATATTGCTCGAACTCGAGCTCGAGCTCGAGTGAGTCGTAGAAATGGGGTTCACACTCGAAACTCAAAAATTGTTCGAAACTCGAGATCGACTCGATTTGTTGTGAGTCTGACTCGAGCTCGAGTACTTGACTTGAACTAGAAGTCCTTGTCCACTTCCAGAATTGCAGAATATAACTCTTCATGCAAAGTAGATTGATGCAAGCCCAATTTGTTGATTTAGAACAAGCTATTAGTAATTGAAATAAGTTGGAACTTGGAACATTTGCAATTCATCACAAGAAAGGTCCATATCCTATTATGCAAAAAAGAAATTAGGAAAACAGTTGTAGAAACTAGAAAGTTGAAGTTATAAATTGAGCATGTTTGATCAATGATCACTGATGATTACATTAACATTTAACAGCCAAATAGCTAGCATCAAAATAATTGCAAAAAACAAGAGTAATTTACTACTACAATTGCCTACAACTTGCAAATTTTACACAAGACAATATCTTAGCAGCAAGCCACCATCAAAACAATTTCAAGAACGGAAGTGGCAACAAACTGCCTAAAACAAGAGTAATTTACTACTATAGCAACCTACAACTTGCAAGTCTACACAAGACAATATCTTAGCACCAAGCTAACACTAAAACAACTACATAGATAAAGCAGCAAATGAGCAAAAACAAAGGCAGCAGCAAGAAATGCACCCGTAAAGCAGCCATCCAATCCAGCCATCTAACCATGATCAACTCCTATCACCAAGACATTTAAATATTTTTTCAACTAAAGGCACACATTAAAACAAAATTGAATGAATAAACAAGTAGAAATTTAGAAATGATAGACCTGAATCACCTAACTACACCCAAAGCTGGATATCAAACTTGCGACAGCTCAATTATTTTGGTACTCTTTGGCTGCTGCATATACCAAAAAAGAATAGACATAACTTAAAAGATCAAAAAAATAGAAAATCAATATCATAGTAATGAATAGTGAAATTTAAGCATATAAAACTCACTTTTGATTTCTTCTTGATCCCATGAAAACATCTACACCAATCGCCACCACACATAAGGACTTGAACTGTTTCCGGAGCCAGCGCAGCTCGATAGGGATTAATGACTCTCGTGCCAGCACTAAAGGTTGCCTCGGATGCTACTATAGTTATAGGAATGGCCAAGGTATCACAGGTTATTTGAGACAATATCGGGTATGAGATACTGTTGACTTTCCACTACTCTAAGCAATCAAATGATTTTGAGCCGGCTGCGATTGTTTGACGAGGTTACTTTTTCACAATATTCATCAAAGTCATCATCCCAATCAAGAGTTTGATTCCCTTGAGATGCACCAGGCTGGGACTCAATTGCAGATCCACTTGAACTAGCAGCCGCTGAGACATATTTTCATACATTTCAAATAGAGCTTTTTGGACTTTGGTGATATTTTCTTGACACTCAAGAGCTGAATATATTTTTGGGAAGGCAAACTCAAAAACGCGCATTTTCTGCCTTGGATCCGAAATTGCAGCAACTGCCATCAATAGGTTGCATTAACCTCAATATTTGTCAAATTTATTTTTCATTCTTCGCATCATTGCTCGTATGAAGTCATCATCATCATTCACTTTTGAATCTAGAAGTCTCTTCACCTTAACAATCTCCCAAAGAAATAAATTGCTTGTCGGATATTCACTGTCGGAGATTATATGAATGATAGTCCAGAAAGTCTCCAATATACCATAGACTTTTTCAACTTTCTCCCCTTTCTCATCAGATGGACAACAATCATAGCGTGGCTCTCTATCTTGGTAGGGTGGAAAAACTTCCTTGAACTTGATAGCACAATTGAGCATCTCATATGTTGAGTTCCACCTAGTCCTATAATCATGGATTAGAGATTTTACAGATATTTGTAGTTGCTGTGCAATTTCAGCAA